AGTATTATATAGATGATAATTTCCTGGTTTTGATAATTGTACTATGCTTGTGTGAGAGAATGTCCTTGCTTTTGGGAAATATAATGCTTACCAAAGTAGGTAAGGGTATAGGAGCTTCATCTCTAAAACCGACTTCAAATAAGTCAGGAAAAATATTATGGGTAGGTAGATAGCTAGCTAGCTAGATAGATAGATATAAAGTAAATATGATAAAATGTTCCTATTTAGGGAATCTAAGTGAAGGATATACAGAAATTCTATTCTTGCAACTTTTCTCAAAACTTGAGATTATGTCAAGATAAAAAGTTAAAGGAAAAAGAAAACAGGTGTCATAGCAGGGAAGGCAGGTGACCTGGAGTACATGTGAATAATACGGCCAGTTCCTGTTCCTCAGTCCCCTCTGGATGCCAGCCTCTGTGCCATGGCTTCATATGCGTAACCTTATTCTGTCCTCACCTCAGTCCGTGTGGAGAGACTATTAGGGCCCCCACTTCACAGATGCAAGTCAGAAAGGTGATGGGATTTGCTCTAGGCTCTCCAGTCACTTGGGACTGTTCCCAGACTGGAAAGTAGACTCTCTGAGTTCAAGGCCAGTGCACTTTGCCTCAACCCCACTGTTGACTCTGAACTTTGGGCAAGAATGGGATGGGCAGGACAAGACAGTACTTCCTGGAGCACTGGTGGAGTGAGGGCCCTGGGACAGAAGCAAACAAGATCCATTTGCAGGATGGAAAGGGATGTTATTCCAGGTTTCTGCAGGGAGGCGATCCTGCAGTGCCAAGCAGGACGTGCTGGCATCAGGGAGGGGGCCTCAAATGCTAGGTAGAGTTGCCAGTGGTGGCCACAATGGCTGCCAGCAGGGGAGCCACAGACTTGGATGCCTGGAGTGACCTGGGGCTGGGTGGGGCGGGCATTTGGGGGCAGAGGACTGGCCTTGGAGGAGCTCACTGGGAGATGGCAGGAGTGCTCCACAGCCAGGCTCAGCCTGCCATCCGAGCTGGAGGTGTCAGCGGGACCAGGAGCCGGCGGGCTTGGCAGTTTGGAGAAGTCCACCTGCAGGATCTGAAAGGCGGCCTGGCCGGGGTTAGGTGGGATAGGAATTGCTGTGGACTTGGGTGTGGCTGGCAGACCTCTGGGGGTCCATGTGAAGAGGAGGGCTTTTCTCCTGGATGCAGGAAGAGCTGAGTGACCTCTGGCAGTCCGTCCCAGTCACCCGGACTGTCTGGCTTTTCCCCAGATTAAAGAGCTGAGGGTAAGTGTCTGGCAGCCGGATGAGTCAGACTGAGAGGCTGCCTCCTTCCACTGTCAGCCCGCCCAGGGTAGAGGCAGGGCAGGGATTTGGCCTGTCTCCCCTCCAATGTCCCTTCCACACCCTGAAATTTGAGGGGAACACATGGGCCAAGTGAACTGGTTTATGTTGCCGGGTCCCCTGTGTACGTCTGAGCGTGTGTCAGTGCGTGCGGGCAGTCGCAAACATCATCCGTTGTAAAATAGCAGTGTTTTCATGGGTGAGTAGTAATTACTGGGTAATGCTTTAAAACCTTTCCTGAAGGAGCACAAAGCTGTTTTTTTCTAAAGTCAGGAGTACATTAAAAGGATTACCATGTAGATTTGATTTTTAGATAACACTAAAATGGATCCCAAATGGACTTCAGCAAAGGGATGCTATCTCCTTAATGGAAAGTGCATGGCCGGAGGGCTCAGCTCCCAGAGCCAGGCAGGGGAGGGAGGTAGGGAAGAGGTGTCTGCGGGCCGACGGGGGGGCTGGAGAGGGAGGGCAAGAGGGAGAGCCCAGACCCTCTGGGGAGCAGGAGCCCATAGAGCCCCCTTACCTTTCCAGGAGTGTTTTCAAGTTTCCTGGACTAGCCCAATGAGAGCAAACACAGTGTGGGAGCTCCAGAAAGAAGGGAGGTGTAAATCCAACTTCTCCCAGGACCTCAGCCTTTCTGGGCAGAGAAAGCTTGAGGTCCCCAGATGCTCTGAGACCTCCTCAGCCAGGCTGGCCCTGGTGTTCTGTGTCTCAGTGGACATCAGACACTGGCAGAGGCATCGTCGTTAAGTGTTCTCCAGGGCCAAGGAAGCAGAGTTCAGCACCCTGGAGCAGGGTGCCCAGGCCTTACAAGCACCTGCTGTGTGCCAGGCCTAGCCTGGGCATTGGTAGGGGCAGGGCACCTGGGGAAGCTAGCTTGTGGCTTTGCCCCTCATGACATCTAGGTCCAGGTCCCACCAGTAATGGACTTGCCAGCTAGTGCTCAAGGTCGTAGGCTACCGGCTCAGCAGCCAAGCATTCTGGGGCCTGAGCTTAGAAGGCCAGTCTGTCCAGGATCCAAGCCAGAGGAAGATGGAGCAGGGCAGATGCTCCTAGTGCTGAGGGCCCCCATCATTTTGGGGTAAAACATAGTGGGCCTAGTGTATCCCCTGAGTACGGATGTTCCAGCCACTCACCACCCCCACCCGTGACAGCACACGTGTACAGTCCTGGCTGCAGGGGAGGGAGCCCGCCCTGCTGCCAGCCCAGGTGAGCAAAGGGAAATCATCATGGGGACCTGTACTAGAGCTAGTCTGGCTTGAGATTTTCTAAGTTGGTGGCTATGCTGGCAGGGTGCTCCCTCCATAGGCCCCAGAGACAATAGTCCCACCCTGGGACCCCCAGACCTTCCCACATCCAGCTCTCTTAACCCCTTCCTCATTTGCCCACACCCGGTTCCTCCCTGTAGGTTAGGCCTTGGAAGGAGCCCCTCAGACTCCCCTTACCTCTCAGGGGTGCCTGTTTCCCAGCTGGCCTCCACGGGCTCCTCAGGGCTGTGACCAGACTGGACCTGCCAGAGAGAGACATAGGCAGCCCTGAGCACAGAGTCCTCCTGAGCCCCATCACTCTCTTAGACCAATTAACCTATAGAGCTGCATTAAGGAAATTAGGCAGCAAACTTCCCAGCTAACAGACAGCCCTGAGGGGGCTGGAGGAGGAATTGCCCACAGCAGCCTGCGATGTGTCCTCCCTGCCCCACCTGTCCTGATGCTCTTGAGTTTGGGAGGCCCCCCCTGAGTCCAGGGCCACCCCCTTTCCAAGAGAAGTCTGAGGAGGCAATGAGGCTGAGAAACAGCACAGGAGGAGGAAGGGGCCCCTTGGGACCAGCTTAATTAGTGGCCTACACTAGCCCCTTGGAGCATCTGAGCCTCAGTTTCACCCCCGTGTAGAATGAGACCGTTTGCCTGGAAGAACTCTGAGGGCCATCTGAACTGACATCTGAGATTTTGAGACTGAGGCCTCTTGGCAGCTGTGGTTCTCCTCTGAAGCCTGGGGAAGGGTCACACCTGGAATTAGGAAGGGAAAGGAAGCAGCTCCGACGAGCTGGGGGTGCGTGGGAGGTTGGGGGCTGAGCCCAGAGCCCTGGAGAGCACAGGGATCCCTTGGAAAGGATGCAGCCAGGTGGAGGGCAGACTTCAGGGGCTTGTTGGAACGTCAGCAAGGCAGGAAAGGGTGGGATGTCCCCTCCAGAGTCAACCCCTCCATCCACCAGAGCTTTCCACTTTCATGAGAGGCTCACAGGCACCTCCTCTCCCCACACCCCTCCCAGGTTGGGGCTCTGAGACTCCCTGCACTCCCCTCCAAGCCTAGTTTTCACTACACTCAAGCCTCAGGGCTCCACAGGGATGTCCAGACTCTCTGATGACACCTGACATCTGTCCTCATCTCTTCAACTGACCCTCCCTGTGGTCACTCCTTGTGGCCCCAGGGGCCAGGGGCTAGGAGCCTGTGCTTCTATGCACATGTGTGCACACGCCTGCACTCTGTACCTGTGTGCATGGGGTTTGAGTGATGCATAGGTTTTCCTGCTGGGAGGTCTGCCCCTCTCTCAGGTGAATGCTAGGCTGATACTCCAGCCCTTTGTACTTGGCACTTTCTTGTATGTTAAGACGCTCCCACGGGCCCTGGGAGGAGTCCAGTGGCTCAGAGATTCTTATCCTGGTGGGAGGAACAAGGATCCAGAGACTGGGAACATCCCACCCTTGGGCCAGGGCAGGTAGGAAGTTTGAATCTAGCTGGAAGCATTTATGACAGCGGTTCTCAACCTTTCACAGGGGTCGCCTAAGACCATCGGAAAACACATATTTTCGATGGTCTTAGGAACCGAGACACCGCTNCCTAAGACCATCGGAAAACACATATTTTCGATGGTCTTAGGAACCGAGACACCGCTCCTCTATCCGTCTCCAGGCCCACATGCAGATACGCCCACATACGAGTACCCGGCAACCCCTGTGAAAGGGTCGTTCTACCCCCAAAGGGGTCGCGACCCACAGGTTGAGAACCACTGACTTATGAGGAGAGCCCCAGCTAAGCCAGGCCCGAGGTCCTCCTGCGGGCACCTGCCAGCAGCTCCAGAGCTCCTGCGCCCTGCTGGGAGGGTCACAGGGGCATCTCCCTTCCCTCTTGACATCTCCACAGTTCTACATGAATACACCAAGAGGCTGTAGCCTGACTTTCGGGATTAAAATGCATGAATGCACAAGCAGTGTGAGGAAGTCTTGAGGTGCCAAAAAGATCTGGGAGTTCTAGTGGACCCCAAGCCCATTATGAGGTTTCATTCTTAGGGTTGCAGGAAGAGCCAGCAGGATGGCGGCTGCGTGAGGAGGGGGGGCTTCAGGCCTCCTGTAGATCAGACCGCAGAGGGGGCTGTGGCTGCATGGGGTGAAACAACTCAGGGGGCAGGCCTTGGGGCTATGTGTGTGCCCTGCAGCAGAGCAGATGCGGTGTTCCCCAGTGCTGCCTGCAGCTTTCAGAGGGACCTTCACAGGGCAGGGGAACCGGCTGTGCCATGCAGCCCAAAGGACAGGACCCAAGACCAGGGAGGAGGTGGCTGGGGAGAAAGCGGGGGCTCCTAGGAACCCCAACTCTGGAGGCGACAGTAGAGACAAGCAGTGGGTTTCCATTCCCAGAAGGCCCGGAGCTGCAAGGCCTACCTGTGTCCATCTGTCTCTTGTCTGTCCATCTGAAGGCGTGCCGATGCTGTCCGTCCAGCCCAAAGGGAAGCAGAAGGGCTGTGCGGGCTGCAACCGCAAGATCAAGGACCGCTACCTGCTGAAGGCGCTGGACAAGTACTGGCATGAGGACTGCCTCAAGTGCGCCTGCTGCGACTGCCGCCTGGGCGAGGTGGGCTCCACCCTCTACACCAAGGCCAACCTCATCCTGTGTCGCCGCGACTACCTGAGGTGGGCCGCCTCCCACCGCTTGGCCCATCTTCTCAGAGAGCCCCCACCCTCCAGCACCCAGCGTGGCCCTACCCCGGCTCTAGACCCGGTACCCCACGGACCCGGCCTATGTGTGCGCTCATCCCAGGCTGCCCTGCCCCTGCTCCCCCAGCCATGCCATGCCTTTAACCTCTGGGACTGGTGGCCAGCACAGGTCCTTGGCAGGCATTTATAACCGCGGGCACCCGAGCTGAGTTTCTCGAGGGCACCAGCCTGTCCCTGCCCTTGTCAGGTGCTCCCGAGCCACTCTGTCCCTGGAGTCGGGGAGGGGACGGCTCAGAGGGGCTTCCAGGAGCAGGTGGGGAAGCTTTGATTGCCCTTCGCCCTCGTTTCTACCTCTGCCCAGTACCCAGCATCCCTACCATTTCAGGAGGGCCCTGGGATTAGATTAACCCCAATACCTGGAGAGCCCAGTCCTGGGAGAAGGACCACGGATGTTGGAGCTGAAAGACCTGGGTTGGAAGTAGCTCTGAGCCTTTGGCTTCTAACCTTCTCCGAGCCTCAGTTTACTCCTCTGTGAAGTGGTGCATTCCTCAGAGCTCTAACTCCCCCTCCCCCACAGCCTGGATCCTATTCCCTGGGGCCGCCTCCCCCAATTAACCCTCCCTTAGGCCATCTATGACATCAGCAAGGCTGGAAGGAGGCCACAGAGCAGGGGCCTTGGCTGAGACCCAGCACCTGCATTTGGCTTTCACACAGGCTGCTGGTGGTGCCTGGGCTTTGTGGGGAAGACAGGCCCATTGCATTAATTAATAAGTCAGCAAGGGCTTCTTGGGGCACCCTCTGCCCAGGTGTGGGCCTGTTGGGGGGTGGAGTTATCAGCGGTGGCTCCCCTGCTTCTCCAAAGAGCCTAAGATTTCCCTGCCTGCACCTTCCCTTTTAACTTCTGCCTGCTACAGGAGTTGTTTTGTAAGTGGTGCAATAAACCAGGTTCTGTGACTCAGCGCTCCCGGCTGGGGATGGAGGAGGGGTCAGGGAAGGGATGCAGCTAGACACTCACCCCTCCACCACCCGGAAAGGGCCTCCATGTCTGGAGGTTTAGGACATCGCTTGGGGCTGAACCTACCAGGTTGTGGGCAAGCGGCAGACCATCTGATGAGTCCACAGGATGTGGAGAGGGAGCAGCACAGGGCAGGGACGGGCTTGTACGCAGAGCTGAAGCACCCATCGGCATTCTGGGCCCTGCCAGCTACTGCAGCCTGAAGGTATTTTCCTGGGCTCTGGCAGAGGCCAGAGAATGACTTTGGGGCCAGGTAGGCCAGTGGGCCAGAGTGGAGATGGGGCTTCCTTGAGCTGCTCAGCCCCAGAGAATGGCTGTCCAGAGCCTGCCCCCTCTGCAGCCTGCTCATTGGACTGGTGGCAAGAAAGGCCCCTCTTGGCAGGCAGATGCTGTGGCCCAGCCTTTGTCTGCCTTAATCTGAGCCACCAGGCAGCTCGGACTGATGAATAACGGAGTCAAGCTCGTCTGCAGGCGCCTGAGCTTGAGCTGGACAAATCAGGGATTAGGAGGGCCTCCCGCCTGCCTCTCAGCCCCCTTGCCTCATTGGGGCTGGATCTGTCAGTGTGCAGAAAAGAAGCTAGGAGTGTGGGTGATGCATATACTCGCTGGCTCGGACCATTGGAGTATCCAGCCAAGGACTGGCCTGCATGAGGAGGGAGTACGCTCCCTGTCCCTAGAGCTTTGCAACCAGCAGCTAAGGGAAGGGTTGTCTGCCTCCAAGAGGCATTGTGCCAGAAGTCCTTAGAACTTTCTTTTGACATCAGTCCTGATTTAGAAGCATCTTTGAATAGGATCCTCTAGTCCAGCATCCACATTTTAAAGAAGGATAAACTGAGGTCCAGGGAAGAGAAAAAGGGACTTAGACAAGCCACACACACAGTGAGTTGGTAGCTGTAAAAGACCTCCTTATATGGTTGTCAGGCTTAAATGAGTTGATCTTTGTAAAGCTCTTAGAACAGTGCCTGGCACATAGTAAACACTGTATAGGTGTTAACCACATGAGTTGTGACTGAGAGTTTACCAAAGTTTTCACAACAAGCCTGTGAAGGTTGTATTTCAGTCCCAGGTTTTATAGTTAAAATAAATGAGGCTCAGAAAGACTTGACGTCTTGCCTGAGGATGCACAGCCCGTGATTGGCAGACTGCCTCTAAAATCTGGCCTGTGTGAATCTGGAGTCCTGCTCTGGAGACCCAGCCTAGTATTCTCCTGGTGATCCCAGGTGCTTGAGGGACTCCAGTAGGAACATGGCAGGGGGCTCTGTCAGCCCAGCCTGGGCTAGGCCGTGTCAGCTGACCCCTGGACTTCTACATCCCCTGCCTGGGTGGATATCACAATTTCTCTAAAGCCTGATTTCTTAGTAGAATTTAGATGCTGCTATCTGTGCCACTATCCCCTTGCCCAGGCCCATATTCTAGGCCCACAGGAATGGGAGACAGGTGAGGCCATGGGTGGAGGCAGCTCCCCTGCCACCATCCCCCTCCTCAAACTCCCTAGCAGGTTCCTGAGCCCTCTGCACGCTTCCTTCTGCAGGCTTTTTGGCACTACAGGAAACTGTGCCGCCTGCAGCAAGCTGATCCCAGCCTTCGAGATGGTGATGCGGGCCCGGGATAATGTGTATCACCTTGACTGCTTCGCCTGCCAGCTCTGCAACCAGAGGTGAGTGAGTGCTGGACAGGTAGCATTCCCAACATACTCACCAGACCCCAGTGACTCCTGCTGGGACAGACCAGAATCACTGTGGAGGCCTGCATGCAAAGTGGGTTCTGTGTGTGCACACGGCTGCTTGTGCATGCTGTCCTGAGCACGCATGTACATATGTGCATTTGATGTATGCCTAAGCCCTGTGGCTAAATGTGCATGCTCCAGTGCTGTGAGTGCATGTTTGTGGGATATGGTTCTGTGTGAATGTAATGGGCAGGAGCCTGCATGAACTTACTGTGTATGCACAGTGTGAGTGTCATGTGCATGTTTGTATTTTTAAAGGTCCATGTCCACATGGGTATGTGTACATGATGGAATTAATATGAATGTGCACTCGTGTTTCAAAATTTTCATGTACAAATGGTGGCATGTGTGTGCTTCATGTGCATGATGAGCATGCATGTGCACACGTTTTAAATGTGCTTGTACAAGGGTTCTGTACACATGCCCTGTGCCCTGTGTGTGTGCCATGTGCATGTATGTATGTTCTAGGGAGAAGGGGTTCACAGCCGTGGAGGGCAAAATCCTTTCAGGGAATAGCCCCTCACTGCTGACCCGTCTTGTGATTCTGTTTCAACCCAGCCTCCTTTCTGGTCTTTGGGGCCCTGCTCAGTGCTCCAGCACTGTGGGAGGCCCCAGGGACCTGTGGAGCCAGAGTCCTCCTGGCTGGGGGCCTAGCACCTTTTCTCAGGAGCCCCAGTTCAGGAAGGAGCTTATACAAGTATTCCCGGAGGGCGAGGTCTAGAGGAACCTGCAGAGCCCGGCTGAGGCTTTGGCAAGACCCAGTGCTAGGAGGGCTCGGTGAAGTTGCAGCGCCACCTGGTGGTTTGAATGGGATCTGCTGGGACCAGGCTTGTGACCCTGGGGTTCCACTAGGGGCCTCTGCCATCCTGGTGACATCTTTTAGGGAAGGGCTTCCAATATTGAGGAGGACTGGGGGGGGTCAAAGCAGAGCCTTCTTTGGGTAGGGGGAAGATGATGGGACAAGGTCATCTCCTGGAAGGATGTTCCAGAAACCCCGCAGGTTCTGCTGAGAGAAAGAAACCTTCTTTGAGCCATCCTCTTAAGTCGGGGAGAGGAACAAAGGGATGGAAAAAGCAACCATTTTATCCTTTCCTCCTTCCCATCTCTACCTCTCTTTACCTCTCTCTCCTCTGGGTCTTTTCTCGTTTGTTTTTCCTTCTCTCTCTCTTTTCCCTCTCTGGAACTGGGGTAGGTTATCAGCCCCTTCCCATCAACCCCACCCCTCCACGAGGGACCTGACTGTGGAAGTCCCGCAGCCCAGGATTGTCTGTCTGCCCTATACCCTGGGCTGCAGGGCCTGGCTGAGATCTGGGCTGACCCAGGGACTTTTGGGGAGCCCCTCTGGAAAGATCAAGGAGCAAGCTCCTCAGGACCTCACTTCCCACGTGTCCACCTCCCAGCGGGGCTGGGTCCTGTCTGGAGCCCCCACCACCCACTGGGACCCCTCCATAGCCTCTCTCTCCTGCTTGGATTTTCCAGATTTTGTGTGGGAGACAAATTCTTCCTGAAGAACAACATGATCTTGTGTCAGATGGACTATGAGGAAGGGCAGCTCAATGGCACCTTTGACTCCCAGGTTCAGTAACGCCCGGCGCCTGGCCTCCAGGCCCGTCTGCCCGCCTGCCCGCCTGCCCGCCCACCTGGCCGGCCAGCCGCTCTCCTGCCGATTAGAACGCCTCCATCCTCGATGGGAGGGATGGCCCTCGTCCGCCGTTGCCCGTCTGTGTGTGACCCCTCCTGGGGCCAGGCTGGGCCTGTACAGTCTGTCTTCTGTATATAAATGGGAACATTTATTTTATGAGAAATGTAATGCGATTTTATTACTGGCGTGGATTAAACTTATGAATGTTTCCGGGGAGGTTACTCTGCATTGATCACTGACATAGACCTGGGGCCTCTCCCCTCTGCTTGGGAGTGGGCAGGGGCAGGGCCCTCCCCTTGGCTCTTGGGATGGGGATCACGGGGCAGGGCATGGGGCTCTCCAAATGGGCTTTAGAGAGAAGCACCCCACAGCCAGAGGTGGGAACTGGGGTGTTCTTCCCTTCCCCTGGCAGAGCATATACCCTGACCCTGCGCAGGCCCCCAAGATGAAGACAGGCAAGATGAAATCCTCCCTTCCCTAAGTTCCTGTGTTATAGCTCCCCACCGAGACCCTCCCCCCAACTGCCCAGTGACCCAGTTCTGACCTCTACAGAAGGACCCCAAATTGCGAGCCCTCTACCATGGGAGTACCATCCTGAAACCTGTCTTCACTTTCCGGGTGTTGGACAGCAGTGGCTGTAGCCTCCCAGCAGTTTGGGCCCAACCTGGGGCCTGGCTTTCTCCTCTTCTGGGTGAGTGAGAACAGTCCTATCCCTCTGTAACAGCCTACACAGGCTGGATGCTGTCGTTCATTCAGTTGGCAACCCTTCATCCACAGTGTCTCAGCCCTGTGCTGCAAACACCAGACCCGAGGATGAGTCATGAATCAGACACAGTCCATGCCCTTGAGGAGGAGGGAGAAAGCCAGGAAAACAAACAGAGCAATCACCGTGAGGACAAACACTGTCAGGAGACCTGGGACAGGCCAGCTCCTTCCAACAGCCACAGGACCACTTATGACGGCTCAGGAGAGTCAGACAGATAAGCCAGTTGCACACACAGTCAGATGCATGTGCTGGCTGTCAGGGGAGACAGACAAACAAATAGACGGATGTGTCGACAGAGATAGGCAGAGACAGGCAAGCTGGCAGGCACTCAACTCAGGCCAGAAGATAGTCAGACAGCAGATACCCAGAGCGTTTTGTGTCGAGTGGCTGAGCCAGGGTGGCAGGCATTCTGTCTTGTGTTGGCTACAGCCACAGTGCCAAGCACAGAGACTGGAACTGAAGCGGTATCACTGAACAGTATTTTAAAATGGCTCCTTGAGTCCAAAGCCTGGACAGGGAAGGCTGTGTGGACAGGCTCCTCCCAAAATCAGGCCACTTGCTTCTCCTTCACCCGGGACTGTTTTTCTCCTGGCCACAGACCAGAGCCAACTTCTGCCCAGGAGTGGGCAGGGAATTGGCTGCCGGGACAGGACAGGGCTCACACCTCACATCGCCCTGTCCCCAGACCTGCTCCTCCACTTACTGAAGTGGGGGGATGGCTGCACTTTTGTGGGCATTTGGAGGAGCCACGTCTCCACACTGTGGTTTTGTGGCCAGTGGCCCAGTCTGTGGGGAGGGATTGCGAGAGCCAAGGATCTTGGGGTAGGAGTTCTCAACTTTAGGGCTTCCTCCTGTGAAGGAACTGCACCTGTGTGTGAGAAGCGAGGCAGAGAGCCAGTCTGCCCAGCCGCTGTGGGTACTTTCAGGTGACATCAAATTGGGGAGTTGTCTGTATGTGACTGTGTGAGATTAGGAATGAATTTGAGTGCATGAGTTTGAGGGCTACAGTCCATAACGAGGAATTTTCCTTGCTCAACATGGAAAAGCAAATTATTTTCCTGGATTATAGCAGAGCTCCCCAATGCCAGACCCTCCCTGAGCCCTTAGGTCTCAGATGGTTGTGTCTCCCCCAAGGTCCCCAACGCCTAACTTCAGAGTTTGCTGCAGATAAAGTTGCAACACAAGTTAATTACATGGTTATCGAGAGATAACGGAGCCACTCGAATGCAGTTTCTGGGCAATTACAATTGTTTCCAACAGAGTTACCATATTGCAGCCATGAAATAACATGTCATTTTGCAGTAATTATGTAATTAACTTGTCTCACCACTCTAGGTTGCACAACAATTAATTCACTCACAATGAGATAGACTCAAAGTCAGGCAGCCAGACTTTGAAAGCCCCCAAGAGCAGAGCTGACCTTTGAAGAGGACCCCAGCCCCACTCGGCCCACCCCAGACCTTGCCGGGGGTCTTCCTCAGCTCAGCATGGCGTGGAGCATGCCAGGTCCTGCATCGTGGCTCCACTTATTACGATCTCCCCATTCTCATCCAGGAAACGGGACTGGTCAGCCGGGGCAGCCGTGAGGCCGAGATCTACACTGTGAAGTGCTGTGCTTACATGAGTTGGGGTTGCCATCCTGGACACCATGAGGTTCTGAGTAGGAGACCCCTCACCCAGGAAGTGTCGTAGAAGTCCAAAGCTGTCCTCAAGAAGGGCCCACGCAGACCTTGCCTTGGCAGGTGTGGCACCAGTTGTGGGGAGGGGAGGGAGCAGAGAGGAAACCAAGTTCTCTCTGTAGCCACTGGAGGCCAGGGCCTGTGCACCTGGAGAGGATTTGCAACCCCCAGGGTTGCCCCCAGGGGGGCCCCCAGGAAAAGACTGACCATCCCCCCCACCAGCCACACACACACACACCCCCGTAGGAGAAACTTGGTTAAGTAGAGGGCATGAATGATTCTCACCTGGTCCTCCTTAGGGGTACAGCACCACAGAGGGTTGGGGTACACGGGAGCCAGGGCACACTGAACGTGAACCATTAGAGGCTGCAACTGCTCGATACTCATCCTGGGATGACTGGGTGGTGGGGATGTGGACGGGCCTTGTACTGGAGCTATGCACAAGTCCCCTTTCCCCTCAACCAGCCCAGGGGATCCCGTCTCCCCTCCTGCCTTCCTTGGTGGCTGGTATTAGAGATACCCTAACAAGGGGCCTGAGAACCATGGAATACGGCAGCTGCTTATACCCCCTCTACTTGGTCTGAAGCTGGACCACATAGTCTGTGTTTGGCAGTTTGATTGTAAAGTTGACATGGCTGCAGGGCCCATCATGAAATCTCACATGGGTCCTCTTTTTTCCTGGACCTGGTCCCAGAAACTGTGCCCCACATCTTGAGACACGCAGGGGCCATGGGCAGAATCCACGTGACATTCCAGCCTGGGAAACGCATCTCTACATGGAGATAATTGCTCTCTCTCTTAAAGGTGCCACAGATCGTTAATGGCCTGACTAACTAAATCTGATGCTGAATAATTCCCAGCACCACTCATCTGGGAATACTGCCCACCAAGTGAGGGTAGGTTGAGGAAAGATGCATTGTAGCTATGACTGTGCCTCATCTGTGGTGAAAATTCCAGTCAGAGAATGCTGTCAGTCTATAAGTTGACATTTAGCTATATATTACCTCTAAAACTATAATTGCCTGAAAATGATATGAAGATGAGTTGGTCCAGAAAAAGACAAATACTTGGTCAAGTCTGCATAGGCCTCGATTCTCTTGAGCTCATGTGCTCTGAGCCCAGAACAAACAGCCTGGTCCCCAGACTATCCCGCTGGCACTGGGTTTTCAGAGCTTGTGGCCTTTGCAGGGAACATATGAGCCCTCAGAGGCTCAGAAGCCCTTTGGCTGCCTGGGCACCTGGGTTGGGGCCTCTACTCTCTTGATCCCCTGCCTTCTCTGGAGGCACAATGAGATTCCAGAAAGGAGCTGGTGCAGGGGCTCCTCCTGGGGCCGGATTTACAGACCCTCCCGTCATGGGTCTGCTCTGTGAACAGAGTGGGGAGCCTTGCAGAGGCTGGGGTTTCCTACAGTCCTGGCAACCAGAGTCTGAAGGAGCTAAGGGACTGAGGCGGTTCCTGGGCCACAACCTCCTGTTCTAACAAGTCTCCTTGCTGCACCTTAGGAATATAGGGGCTCTCCCCACAGCGGGTCTGAGGGCTCCTCTGAATAACCCAGGCTCCCCTTCTGCCTCCTTCCCCATCTGCTAGCACAGATCAGGGACCAGAGAGAGCACACTTACCTGAGAAAGAGAGTGAGAGATGAGAGAGAGGGGGAAGGGAGGGAGGAAAGGAGAGGGAGAGGAAATGGAAGGGAAGGGGTAGGGATAGGGAGAGAAAGAGACAGATGGAAAGAGATGAGACAGAGGGTAGGAGAGGAGAGAAGGGAGAGGGAGGGACGGAGGGAGAGAATGAACGAATGGGAAAAAAAGGGTCTGGGAAGATTCTTCTAACTGCAGGGAAGGTGAGGGTTGAGGGCAGCCGTGGTGGCAAAGGGCAGCAGTGTGGCATGGTAGTGGCTTGTGGCCCAGGAGCCAGATTACATGGGCTCGGACCATAGCTCTTCCATTTGGCAGCTGCACAGCCTTGGGCAGCTTACTTAGTTCTCATCTTACAGACGAAGAGTGTCTTCATCTTCACAAGGGAGGATTTTCATA